CACTCCACAAGACTCTAAAAATCCATCTCAATCACAAGATGCGAATTCTACACCGCAGGGGGAGGGTTCTACTTTAACCTTCACGCTAACTTCACCTATTCAGGGGGAGCATTCATCTCCTAAAGCAACTCAAGAACCACTACTCCAGGGGGAGGGTTCAGCTCTGAATGAAGAAGAACATCAATCATTCGAGGGGGAGAATAATAATATGAATGATTATTCGGATGTGCAGTCAGAGTTTGAAGACGTAAATGCTAAATTGGATTCAACTTATGATCCTAATTACCCTCCTTTGACTAAATGGACCAGAGATCATCCAAAAACTCAAGTAATAGGATATTTGTCTTCAAGAGTTCTTACGAGAGCACAAAAAAGGCAAAGTGGACTGCATTATTCTCTAAAGTGGAATATTACATGTTCAATTCATTTATCTCCGAAATTGAACCCAAAAATGTTCAAATTGCTCTTGATCATTCTGATTGGGTGCAAGCAATGCAGGAGGAACTCAATGAATTCGAACAAAACAAGGTTTCGAGACTTATTCCCACTCTAAAGGATGCATCTATTGTTGGTCTAAAATGGGTGTTTCGTAACAGGGCGCGACTAGTTGTTACGAAACAAAAGGGAACGTGATATGAAACAAGGAGCGACTAGTTATTAAGGAGTATTGCCAAGAAGAAGGTATTGACTATGAAGAAACCTTCACACCAGTTGCAAGGTTGGAATCTGTTCACATTTTCTTGGCATATGCAAGCCACAAGAAATTTGAAGTATATCAGATGGACGTTAAGTTTGCCTTTCTGAACGGGGAACTGGAAGAAATAGTGTATGTGAAACAACCACTAGGGTTCGTTAACAAAAAAAATATCCCAATCATTGTTACACTCTGGACAAAGCAGTTTATGGTCTGAAGCAAGTTCTGAGATCTTGGTACGAAACTCTTACTCATTTTTTAAAATAGGATAAATTTAAACAAGGATCGGTCGACCCAACCTTCTTTCGGAAGAAAGATGGTGACAACTTGAAGATCATCAAAATTTACGTTTATGACATCATCTTCGGATCAACTAATCCCAACTTAACTACTGAGTTCTGAAAGTTGATGGAAACTAAGTTTGAGATGAGCTTCATGGGTCCGATTAACTTTTTCCTTGGTTGAAACATAAGACAGAGTCAGGAAGGTATCTTTATCAATCAAGAGGCTTATACAAAGACTCTACTCTCTAAGTTTGGAATTGTGATAGATTCGAAGGTGAAGGTTCCAATGGCATTCGGAAGAAACTAACACCGTCTCTGGACAAACTGGCCACTGATATGACACTTTGTCGTCAAATGATACGTTCATTGATGTATCTAACGATTAGTCGTCCAAACATCATGTTTTCATTTTGCTATTGTGTTAGGTTTCAAGCGAATCCTCGCGAACCCCACATGACCACTATCAAGAACATATTCAGGTATCTCAAATGAACATCCTCACATGGAATACGGTACCCTTCAAGTTCGGGTTTCTTTATGAAAGCATTTTCAGGTGCTGATCATGGAGGTCGCGGTTGGGATCGAAAGAGTAAAATGGGAGGATGCCAATTTCTTGATGGCAAAGTCGTAAGTTGGAAATCTAAAAAGAAAATGTGTGTCTCCTTATCTACCGCTGAAGCGGAATATATAGATGTTGCCTCTTCTACTTCACAAGTCATCTGGATTCAAAGCCAGCTTCGTGACTATGTCATTAGTATCAAGTGAATCCCTTTGTATTGTGATTCTAAAAGTGCCATTCGTATTTATCACAACCCGGTGTAACATTCAAAGACCAAACACATCGCATTGAGGTATCACTTCATCAAAGATCATGTGGAAGATGGAAATCTCAAGATACACTTTGTTAGATTCGTTGATCAACTGGCAGACATCTTCATGAAAGCCTTGCATGAGCAAAACTTTAATAGCATTCTTCAAGGCTTAGGAATGATAGAGGTTGAATCTGTATGGAATCCACCTTTTCTTTCATAAAGTTTTGGTCACACTGCGAATTGGTGTGAACGCTCGTAGTAACTCGTGGTCCAATATTCATACTGCGAATCGGTGCGAATGTTCATAGTGACTCGTAGTCTACTGCTCATTCGTGGTTCGGGACCTCATGTATCCTTTGTAATTTTCTTTATTTCTTTTTGCTAAATTCTATTTTTATTTCTTTTTCAAAATATTGAAAATCCAAAAATATTTTATTTCTTTCTGTTTTTATTTCTTTTTTAGAAAAACAAAAATAAAAAAATATTTTATTTATTTTCATTTCTTATTTCTTTTCTTAAAATAATCAAAAATACCAAAGAGATTACCTAATTGAGCAAGTTTGAAGACATATATCTTGGTGATCTCAATTACGAATGATGGGGCATGTATAAAACTCCTAATCTATACACTAGTTAAGTGTCCCTAGAAGCATGTTGTTGCATGTAGTCCAAAGCCTCAAAGACTCTTTGTTGAAACCTTAATGAATCGATAACACCAATCATTTCTTCATAATTAGGCTATTTATTCACATAAGTCATGAGCTACCTTACTCTTCTCGCATTAAGTTAAGAGTTAACTACTTGGTCACTTTTGCATAGCAGATGTACACTATTTATTTGGAACCACCTCCTACTATTTCTCCATTACTTTCACATTCATAATCGTAACCCTTGAGACTCTTAGAAATTACCACTGAGGTTTATGGTTACACAATATTTGAGTTTATGATCTTATATTACCACGAATTGAGTGAAACCCAAAAGTCAACACACACTTACAAATTGACGGTGAACAATTTAAATGTTCTAGCTTATTCACCAAGGAATTAACAAATTACCACCTTCATGGTTTGTACCCTGAAATCTCTTTTTCTTTTTTTGTGCGGTCTTAATGAAATAATCTAGTCCTAAGATGTTTCTTCCCAATAGATTCAGTTTTAATTTTTTTTTTTTGAGATTTCTATATTTATCCCAGTCACTTAATAATTTCAAAGCATACTTGTTTATATGACTACGCTGGTCAAACAAGTACATATAATACGAACGTTCAGACTTAGTTGAAGAAGAAGCCACCACTTTTGCCTTATTAAAAGAAGCCTTTCACTGTTTCTCCACAAACAAATGATCGTAATTCAACGGGACACCACACAAGCACTTCAAAGTCGCTCTTGACTACGAAGGAAGAGATCGTTGCCCGAGATCCATCTGGTTTATGTCTTCAATGACATCAATAGATTCCCTAAGAAAATACACTTTATTTCTTTATCTTTGGTTTACTCTTGCACGAAGATCTTTATGATTTTAAAAAATCCAGTTCGTTGTTCTAATGGCTACTTTCAGCTTCAGGGTATCGTAAATGGTGATCATTTGTGAATGTATAAAGCTGCGAAAGTCAGGATCAAAAAGGACGATTCTAAAGCATAAGATTTGCAATTAGGCACATGAAATTTGAAACGGCTCTTGACATCATGCCAGCAATTACGCTGCCCGATGCATGCCTGAGGCACGCCAGCCTGTTTGCGCTTTTCCAGACACTTTTTCAAGGAAATAGAGCATCAAACGTTTATTTTTCTCTCTCCTGGCGTATGGTATAAAAGGTTTTTGCTGATTCATTGCTCATTATCTCTCTCAAAGAACTCAAAGTACTTCCAGCTATTTCTCTCTCTCTCTCTACTTTTCATCTTCTTCAACAAGCTTCCATGTCCGCTTCCTCAGATACCCCCTCCGTTGCGGAACAGATGGATCAATCTTTGATTCTCAACCTCAAGGAAAACCAAAACCTTATTATGGACCTTGATCCAACCAAATATTAAGGTTTTCTTTAGCTAATCGTCGAGTGCTTGAGATATTCCCCACTATTCATCACTGTCACAAAATCTAAAATCGTACCCTTGGTTCATCTGTCCAAGGCGTACTCCATTGCAAATTATCAAAAAGAAGAGGAGATGCTTACGTTCGAGATCTTTGAAAATAAAACCAACATCACCAAATCTCGATTCTGCAACTTGCTAGAGCTTCCTCAATGAGATGATCTAGTTGACCCTGAGACCGTCTCCAACTTTGCCATCTTGGAGATGTTTTACCATATGTGGTACAAGGAAACATTGATCGTCGTCTCCAAATTCAAGAAGCCCAATTTTTTGTCGATTTGGAATGGATTTTTTACCCTTCTCTTCATGTGTTTTTCTGAGAGGGTTATTGGCTCCGACTATCCCAGAAAACTGTTTATGATGATTATGTACAAGATCTTCTTTGACATCAATCTAGTTTATGGTTCTGTGCTTTGGGCTCAATTGGTCCAAAGTACCCTTTCCACTACACGATATAGTGAGATTTCTTGTGCTCGAATATGGATAATTATGGTCCAACGGGCGATTACTAAGCTTAACATCCCCATCCTCGAAGATTCATGTATGGCATCGATTCAGATTTTCCACACCGCTAACATTATTCTCGCAGATAATTCCAAGTTCAAGTTTATTGGCTCAATTCCGAAATCTATGCTTCAAGATGTCCCAGCTGCAAGTATTGCAAACCTATCGCAGTTTACTAGTCTCAAGTTTTCGCCCAATGACTGATGAAATCCAAAAGATCCTTGCAGAGGCAGATAAACCGAAGAAGGGCCGAAAGAAAAGGGTTGCAAAAATGGGTCCATCTGACCAAGCTCAAATACCTAAAAAAGAAGACGGTAAAGAAAGCAGCTTGAAGGCCACGAACTCCGACACCAAGCGACCATGATGATTCGCAGTCCAACACGGTTTTAGAGGTTCCAGTGCAAGAGGGTACTCACAACGAACAAGATGATAATGCTGCTACATCTCAACCTCAACTCTCGCAACTAATATATACTAATCCTAAGGTAACATTTGAAATTCCAACCTCTGTTCCTCTCAGGATGATTCGCAGTCCAACACGGTTTTAGAGGTTCCAGTGCAAGAGGGTACTCACAACGAACAGGATGATAATGCTACCACATGCCCACCTGTTTCAATGGGAGTTTTGCAGACACAAACCACTCTCGTACAGTCAACCCCTCTATTCACAGATTCAACAGCTACTACAACAACTACCACTAATGAACCTCCACTATCTGTCAATTCATCTGATGCGGGGGCAGGTGGTTTAGGTTTCTCAGTTGGTCATTCTACACCACCTATCTCTCCTCTTCGCCAGGACGATCCCGATATGATTTTCAGTGAAGATGAAGAGGATTTTAGAGGTTTTACCTATAGTCCCTTCAACATTCAGACTGAAAATGATGATGACGCTCCAGTAACCAAAGGCCAACTTAAAGCGATAAATGAAAAGGTGGATTCGTTGATCCAGTCATCTAAAACCCAAACCAACGATGAGTATTCTTAGGCCATAATCAAGTCTTTTCTTGAGACCCTCACCAAAGAACATTATGCAAATATCGTGAAGGCCAATAAAGCTGTTGATGCTTCAGCTTCAATGTGCAAGTAAACGACCGAAAAAGTCGATAAACTAATCACTGATGCTCGATTGTTCATGAGCACTTTTCAGACATCCTTTGATTCGACCGTTGCAAAAGCAAACGAATCCATATCCAGTCTGAGTACTTACCTTCGAACAGAGAAAGAGGCTTTGGAGAAGGTTCTCACTAACATCAAAGCCTACTACTCAGAGCTCAACTCTTCCATCACATCAAAAATAGAAAAGCTTCAAGACGACTTGGCCACAGAGAGCAAAATAATGGATGCTCTCGCACTCAAGACGGAAAAGGTAAAGGTTTTGACTATCAAGTTGGATCATGCTAAGAAGAAGATCAATGAGCACTTATCTGAAAAAATTGTTATAAAGAGTTGTATTGCATATGTGAACGCCTTACTCTCTCACATAATCGAGACTCGTGACTCTATGATCATGATGACTATCAAGAAGCATTTGGCTGAAAAGCTTCATCCTGTGTTTGCTACGCTCAACAGGTTAGAAGGTGTTTCAGATTTGAGCTCAATTCCGAAACAGGGGGAAACTTTGAAGAAATCAAAGAAAGAAATCCCAAAACCAACTGCAAAGCCAAAGTCTGAAAACGAACCGAAGGATAATGTACCTTCGGATTCGAAAGGAAAAGAGAAGTTGTAGCACCTGGTTCTTGGTACATATTCTGTTATTAAATCTTTATTTATTATGCATTTTTGATCTTGGACTCGGCAAGTTGAAGGACCAACTCGCCGAGTAGAAGCGGGATGAGGCGCGGAGTGTAAGTCATGGACTCGCCGAGTTGGGTCCCAGACTCGGCGAGTAGCTGCTGTTTGGATTAAAACCCTAATCCAGGGTTTGCACTCTATTTAAGAAGCCCTATGCAGCCTTCATTCCCCCTTTATGCTCCCAAACACTTCTTATAGCAAACCCTAGCCGTTCTTGAGAAAATATAAGGCTTTTGAGTGATTCTTGTGAGTTTTGACCTCAAGGAAGAAGGAAGAGCATAGAAGGATCAAGAGGATACTGAAGGATTCGATTTTGGTTCATCAATTGCAGTCTACAGAAGGTATAAAGTCTGAACCTTGCTCATTCATTTGCTAGATCCCTCTTTGAGGTGATTTAGGGCTTTTATAAGCCATTTTTGGTGGCCAACCATGTTTGCAAACATGGTTGGGGGTTTGAGCTTCTGGATCATGTCATTATTGGAGTCACAAGTTGGATTTGGGTTGCTGCTTTTGCACCCAAGGAAGGCCCCATGCAACAAAGGACCATTTTGGTTGCCCTACTCGTCGAGTAGTAGCGAGGTGAGATCGCGTATTTAGTGGTCTACTCGCCAAGTCCATAAAGGGACTCAACGAGTAGGAGCTGGCAGATGAAACCCTAAATACCGGGGTTTTGCACCCTATTTAAAGAAGCATAAGTCCCCTTTACCCTCTTTGCAGCCCATTGAGAAACCCTAATTCATGTGGTGTTCATCCTTGTGTGTCTTAAGCTATAGAAAGGAGTTTTTGGAAAGGAAGAGCTTAGAGGATAAGGGATTAGGAGCAAGGAAGGCGTGGGAATCAGAATTCTACCTCAGTTGGCATCATTTGAAGGTATCAAGTCACCACCTTTACTTCATTTTCCTCCTTGACCTCATTTGGTTGAGATTTAGGGCTTTTATGGCATGTTTGAGATAATAATGTGGGATATGAACTAGATCTGAAGTTGTAACTTTAGATCTGGACCCTTCTTGGGTTCTAGAGTCAGAAAGCTATGAACTTAGTCATGTATGGAACCTTCTTTGAGTATGAAACCCCATTTTAAGCTTAGATTTGACATTTAGAGCCTTTGAAGCGATGCATGCACGTAAAGTTTGCAACTTTACGTGAAATGCATGCCTTAGAACCTTGGATTCGTAATTTGGAGCCACTGCATGGCTTAAAAAGAGTCTGTATGGCTTATGGACAGAAGGAACTCGGTGAGTCGCAAGGTCGACTCGGCGAGTCAATTGAAGATAGTCCTGGACTCCACAAGTTGGATGAAACAATCGACGAGTCTGATGAATATTGCCAAGGAACTCGACGAGTGGTATGAACCACACGGCGAGTCGGATGAGTTTTCCCCAATTTATGTATACGTGTGTGATCATCGAGTTGCAAGAAGGAAACTCGACGAGTGGCCTTAGAGTTCAATCGTAAACCAAAGGAACTCGGCGAGTGGGTAAGTACTTCAAGGAACTCGGTGAGTAGCTGCCGAGGGTACTCGGCGAGTTAGGGTCAACATGGACTGTTGACCTTGACCGATGACCTTGATTTTGACCAGGGTTAGATTAGTGGGTTTTGGGGTACCTTGAAAGGTTGGGAACTTATGGGTATAATTATATTATGGTAATAGGTGGTGTAGTTTTTGTTAGTGATCTGAGAGTTGGAGTTTATCTACCGAGTAAACATCTGCAAGGTGAGTTATCCTCACTATATCAGTAGGGTCTACGGCACCAAGGCCGACCCTCAAGTTGTTATTGTTGTAATGTGCTACATATGGTTATGATATGTTAGATCGAAATCAGGATAGATAGTATATTATGCTCTTATGGTCCGTAGGGATTGGTATGTTAGTGAACTGCTAGGTCGGTACTCTAGTTACGAGAGATTTCTATGATTGATGATCAGTAAGATAGATATGTTTAATGTTTGTACATACCAATATATGATAGTTATGCACACATGGTTATTTGCATGTTGGTTGTGTTGAGGCGGTCCTGCTTTGTGCTGAAGGGCAAAATACCCTATGAGCGGTCCGGAGGGACTATAGGCCCATGAGGCGGCCCAGTCATGCCAAAGGCTCGGGATCGGATCAGATAGACTAAAGTCCCTGCAGGGCGGTCCAGTCAGGTCGATGGCCTAATATGCATGTTATTGATTGTCTGTTACTGATATGGTATTATCAGCGTGGTAGTGGTATTTTGGGGGTAGCTCACTAAGCTCTCGGGCTTATAGTTTTCAGTTTATTGTTTCAGGTACTTCAGGAGATCATGGCAAGGCGAAGGCGTGACCGTACCACTCATCATCCTTTCGATCTAGTTATTCGGACACTTTGATGAATAATGATTTGAAAACATTTTGTAAACAAATATTATTTGGTTTTAATTATTATCAAAAAAGTTTAAATTTGGTGTAAAATTTTTGGATGTGACAAGGTAGGTAAATGACGATTTACCAATTTCACCACCAAATTTTTTCTTGAACGAAATAGGTTTTGAATGAAATTCCTAGATCTTTTGAAAATCATTTAATCTTTTGAATGACATGTTTAATCTCGATTATGTTCTTCCATTTGTGATTGGGATACCAAGGATCACAAACAAGATGTGAATAACCATACAAATTAACTTGGTACTCTCGATGTCATTTATCATCTCATTTTAATGTGTCTGATAGCTACACACGCTCCATTAATCAATGATAATTTACGAGACACCCTTTGCCACTCTTTATTAGTCCTTATTAGTGTGTTGGTTATCCAAACATGCTCCACTCACAATCAATAAAGTGCAATGTGCAATTTCATGGATTAGCATACAATTTCACATTTTTCCTAAAGTAACTAAGATTGAGAATTTTATAAAAAAACATTTAATTACTTAAAGATCATTATACTTATTAATGAGGATTAACTATTCTATCAAACCCGTTTGGCTAACGACCCTCCACCAATCAAGGAAGCGGTGAGTGAGAGTTGACACTCATTCAATCACCATTTTATAAGAAATTTCCTTATACCCCCTTATAGATTGGCTTCGTTCATGAGGCATACTAGCGGTTCGACTGACTTGTCTTATATTAGACTTTAAATGATACATAATTAGGATTACAAAACATACCTTTGATTATTATATAGTAATAATAATCTAAATCCTTTGGTGTTGTTGAGACTTTGAGAATAAGCGTCACAATTTTCACGCCTCTAATGGCTCACACCCAACCCTAGCAATTGAAGAAGATTATGGAGAAGGATAGAGGAGGCAAATTTCCGGTTGGTACTCTGCAAGAATAAGTGGCCGCAATTTTTAGGGTATAAGCCCTATTTATAGTGTAGTAAGGAAACCCTAGATAAGTCCAAATCCAACATTATCATAAACCGGATAATTATCCACTTTCCTGATTATCCAGTAAGAGACTATTCTAGAAACCCCAAGGCTCTAGAAACCGTCCATAGTCTATGGAGGGTTCTAGACTGCCTCATTCTCAACTGTTGAACAATTACAATTCGGTCCCTGTACTTTTTAATTAATTTTTTAATCCCAAAATTAATTATAATTAATTTATGATTAAATATTAATTAAATATTACTATTTCTAATTAACATATTATTCTCATAATATATTAAAAAATTACTTATTCCAAATTATTAATCAAATTAATAAATCAACATCTTTATCCAAAATCATCATTCTCAGTTGCTAGCCTTGAGGGCAACCCAAAAAGACTGTGCTACTATCAATGCAGGTATATACAAATTATAGTTATGGGCTTAGACACCTAATCCAACAATGACACCACACCCGAAGCGACCCCGTAGGACACAAAACTTGCCTACTCCACATACAACAAAACACCTTCTGTTTATGGTTGGTCACTATACTACATCGTTTTTGCTTGAACCATATGTATGTGGCTGTAGAAATGAGTGTTATATACGTATTTTTATATGAATAGGTCATTTATAAAGCTCATGGGTCGATATTATCATTTTCAGCTAAGGGATCAAGTTCTTTTGGGATAAATTATTCACTCAAATCGACTTAGGGTGATTATCTTTGAAGGTAATACCCGAAAACTAATTACAAAAGGGACTAATAAATATATCATATATTAGGCTAAATTATATAAAAACCACTATAATTTGATTTTTTTTATTTAACCATAAAAATATTTTTTTTCTAGTTTAACCATTGAAAGTTTTTTTTTTTCGAAAAAAAAAACAACTATAACTCATTTTTTCCATCAGTGAGTTGCAAATAACAAACAAAAAATTATTTTTTTCGATGAATAAAGGTTTTGTTTAAAAAGGTTCAAACTACATATGGTTAAGTTGAATTTTTTTAAGTAGTTAAATTAAACAATATTCAAACGCTCATGTTTTTTTATAGAATTCAAAGATTTATGTAGTGGTTTTTTTTTGAAAAAAAAATAAAAAAACTTAGTCTTTAACATAGAACCAAATTTATTTTGATACTTAAACCGAAAAAAAAAAAACCAAAGTATAATGGTTTTTAAGAAATTTTCCTCACACACACACACACACACACACATATATATATATATATATATATATATATATATATATATATATATATATATATATATATATATATATATATATATATATATATATATATATATATATATATATATATATATAATGACAACATCTTTTGATATGGGTACAATTGTTAGACATTGTTGGACAGTTGTCTAGTAAGGGTACGATAGAAGCTCATGTCATAAACATACTTTCAACTGTTGATGCGGCAAAGACTGGGTACCTTGGCTGTCGACGAATTTATTATGTGTTACGCTCTCAAAGTGTGGTGGAAAGTTGATCGAGTGAGTCACTTTATTCATACATATAATTTTTTAATGATTATATTGTATGTAAGTTATGTATTTTTTGTTGAC